TGAAAGGAAAGGAGCGACACATAGCAGCAATTCACCGGAGAGTTCCGCTTTATTAGGGAAAGGTGCTGGGTTATATAGGAAGGGGCATGAATTGATTGAGGTGTCACTTCTACGGGGCTGGTGGCTGTTGGCTAGGTGCTGGGATTGGGAGGGGGGCGAGAGGTGATTGGGCTTCAGGTGGCGCCGGCGGGAACTGAGGACCCCGAAGAGAAGCCGGAAGTTTGCCATCTTACTGGTGGGGACCCTTCAAAACGTATGAGCCAAGGGTCAGGGATTCAATCTGAATGCAAAGGATAGACTCAGAATCAGAAGATGTAAGGTAGAACCTAAGAAAGTACCACATAGGATTTGTGTGCCCTGGAGTAATTCATTTAACCCCTTAGGGTCTCGGTTCTCACTTCTGCAAAGATGGAACAAGGTTGTGAAGATGTGATGACTTATGGAACCACAGAAAATAATGATGAGATGAAGAACCAGCTCTGCCTCCTACCTCCACCAGTGAGAGACTAGAGTCACAGGCTGGCTACCTAAAATACTCCATACCTCAGCTTCCTCATCAGTTGGTTTGTTCGATTTTACAAAAGATAATACTTTAGAAGTGCTAACTAAAACACACTGCCTGGCTTTCATTAAAACATAGCTGGCTACTATTAAGCTTTCCATAAAGGTTCATTGATTCCAAATCTGATATACTTGAAGGACCATCCCATGCATATAAAATTAATCTAAAAGCAGCAGAGATTACTAAGTAGTTTACCCTTGGGGCTCATTATTATGCATCAGGACTATTTCAAAGAGTTGCAAACATGAAACATATTTCAAATTTCTTCAGAATCTATTTTAGATGATATACCTAATTTTTCTATCTAGTTCGTTTCTTTTTCCTGTTTATCAAATGGATTAAAGCCAATTCAACCAAAAAAATGGAAAAGGTTGAAAAATGAGTGAATGCTTCCCAACAGCTTTCTTTCTAAAAAGTAAAAGATCACTTTGAATTAATTTTTTAGTTATTTTTCTAAAAGGTCCAATAATGTAATGGGAATATTAACAGTTGCCTTTTCTAAGTGTATGAACCTCCAAAATTATATCTTTTAAAAAATAATCACATATAACAACTACAATTCCTCCACACAAAGATAAAGCCATTTAAAAGGCACAGCAATCTAGCACCATTTAGCATGAAACTACCTTCTCTTTGCTTTACAATGGACACCACCCACCACAGAAAATAATTAACTCATCTTCACAAAGACTCAAACTTCAGGAAGCAGACATCTCATATGATACTATTCCTATTTCTTGAAGTGAAAACAGATGCACTGAGAAAGAGAGATTCAATTCCAGTACCAATGATGAGGAAAACAAGGACCAGAACCATGATTTCCAGTTAATCTGCCAGTGCTGTCCCACAGCTCCCTATACTAACTAGTAAGACATCCACACAGAGCTTATTTGCTATTACAGAAAAATTATAAATTGTCATCACAGTGATGAACATGAATGAACAAAAGGCCCAGGACGCTATTTAAGAAGGCAAGAGTCTATCTTTATAACAAGTTTCCAGGCACAGCGATGGGTGTTTGGGGAACAGTGAGTATTCAGCAGAACAAAAGCATGTGTTCTTGGGGAAGTGAAGAGGCAGGAGGACAACCCAAAAAATGGGGCAGGAGCCAATCATGGTGGGTCTTCCCTGTTCACTGAGGAACCTGGGCTTCATCCCATAGTCAATGGGAAAACATGATATTTTAAGATGGGGAGTGACACAGAATTACTTTTAGAAAGATCACCCTGGCAGCACTATGGCAGACAGACCAGACTAGCCTCTCTTGAAGGGTAGTAAGCACCCAGCCTGTCTAAAAACACCCTGGAGGCTTATTTAAGAATAAGCATAATTTTAGCTAAACCCTAGGTCTACTGAACTTGAGTTTGATAGAGAGACCTAGAAAACTGAATTTTAACTATCTCTGCCTGATAATTTGGGGGCACAGTAGAGTTTGCAAGCAATCTCCTAAGCAAGGGAAGACTGGGCCTATACTGAAAAGGAGACTCGTAAAGACACATGTAAGCCAAGACCTGCCACACCAAGTAGGAGCACAGTAAGTCGTTACGGGATGGGTTAAGGAATGAATGGGATAGAAACAGGTGTTAGAGACCGATAGCATGGAAAGAGGTCAACTCCAAAGTACAACACAGAACCATCTGACATTGCCATTTTTGTGAGTCAAAACTGGACAAATACTGGCAATTCATACAGTTCAATTTAATGAGGAAATCAATAAAAGCTATGCTCTTATCATTTATGTTTTTTTCTTAAAAAAATGCTTATAAAAAAATCTCCATTAAAATGAAGTGGAACCATCATGAAGGTGTGGATCTGCATCTGTTTTGCTCAGTCCTATGCCCTCATGCCTGAAGCAATGCCCTCACAGGACAGCTACTCAATAAACACCATTGAATGCGTGAGAAAAAGTGGTTATGCATAAGAGGATGAATTCTTAGCCATTTGGAAAACTTGACTATCTGGAACAACTCATTTTTCAAGCACATCAGATGATAAGAACCATCTTTTTTCTTTGCCTATAGTTAATCAAAAAGGTAAACTAAAATCCTAATCCTAAAACTTATAGTTAACTAAGTCACCTTGCTAAAGTGAAATAACACTTGAAACTCCATAAAAATCCAGAATTTAAGACCCTCTAACAATTATAGTGTATTACCCAAATAAATAATCATACACACACATAAGCAGGATATTACATCCATCAATTCATTCAGAAAATATTTACTGAGTGCCTACCATGTCACCAGGTACTGTTATAGTAATTAGGGCATAGCCATGGAAGATGTTACATGAAGAACTTTTAAATAATGGAGAAATACTTATAACTTAAATGGGAAAAAACAGAATTAAAATTTTAAAATATGTATGTATTTATACACTACCTCAACTACATAAAAATGTATATATACAAATTAAGCCAAAACACCAAACTATTAGCTTCTTTCCCTGGATGGTGGAATTATAAGCAACTTGATATTTTTCGGTGTTTTCTACATTTTTCACAATTATGTAATTTTATAGTCCAGGGAAAGGTAACAAAATATTAAGCCACAGATTTTTGTATTAAGATAATGTCCTAATATAAAAAGTAGTCAGATAGGGATACTGAACAAAATAAAAAACCACATGCTGTATGCAAACACAAGAATTCTCAATCTAAATGGTAGACTATGTCAACAATCTGTAACCACTGAAAAATCTTCAACTGTCATCAAAAGTCTATTCTCTCCTAATGTCATAGTGATCCAAAAGGGTATGTTTTTTCTTTCAACAATTTCCTGATATTTCATCCATTTTCCAAAATAAGAACACTTACTTGAAATGTGAACCACTTATTTGAAAAATGAAATAGCTGAAAACTATGAAGTTGCCCTATATCATCCCTAATGTCTAGTAATTATTAGATTTTCCCTCTTCTCTCTTTTAATAAGGCATCTTTCCCTTATATGTCATTCCTCACTGATATCCACAACAGTCCCAGGCATGAACATATCTAAACAGACTTCCACTTTGAAAATGGATACACATAAAGAGATAGACAGCATGGTTTACAGCTCACAATTCCACTTTACATACCTCTCGGATATCAAAGCTCCTCTTAAGGTTAGCACCTACTATTCCATACAATTCATCAGCAGGAAACAAAGGCTCTTCCGAAGGTTCAATGGTAACCTGACGAAATATGGAACAATCATATTAACTTGTTTTAAGACATTATTTCAAGACAACATGAACCAAAATGCTTTTCAAGAAAATAAAAACTATAAGAACATATCCAACTCACATCCAATTTCTTCTGATAATTTAGATTCCTCACAACCTTCCTTGTTAAGTGAAGGGCATGATTATCATCCAAAGCACAGTAGTCACTTACACCAGACTTTCTACAGAGTAAAGCACACGAAAATAATCAGAACCGGGAATAGGAAAATAATTAAATATCTTAAACCCCAAATATCTTCCCTTATTTAAGGATGACATCATTTTTACTTCCAAAACACTTGAATAAATGTCATTTCATTTGGTCCTCATAATCTCCCTGGCAAAACAGTGCTACCCTTGTTGTACAAACAGCAAAAACTGAGGTGCAGTACTTTGCCCCAGAACCACCAGTAGCTGCATAAGAGTTCACACCTTCTATTTCTCAATCTTGACCTTCTTCTACTAGACCACAGGGCCCTGCTGATAAGGACTTCTATTTCATACTCATCCCTTGCACCACAAGGAAGATTGTCTATGTTCCATCACAGATGGCACACTTCAGTGATACAGTCAGTAACACCAAAAAGCATTTGTACCTAACTGAGCCCTTAATGATATGGTCTTCATTTCTGAGAGACAGCCGAGGTCCCTCCTTACAAAGTGACACCCCAAAAGTAAACTGTCATGGATAACACATAGAAAGGCTTGAGTATGCTGTCCCTCAGATCAGTGGTAAAAATGGATATTGATAAAACAGAACTGTGATAAGGATCACAGAAGTTCCTGTTCAAACTCAATGCGAATGAAGCATGGGCTTCCTCTGGTTATTAGTTCTAATCCGATTTAGATGGTTTGTTATTTCATATGACAATACTATGACTCTCTGATAAAGTATTTTTTTAAAAATGTAAAGTCAGGCAAAAATGTATTTCAAAACAAACAGAATTCTGGCTCATTTTATGAGTTAGAACTAAGCTGCTGCAATCTGAATTTTGATTTCTGTTCTAGGGAGCATGCCAAATCCCTGGGAGACATTTCTTAGAATTGGGCTTGCACAGTGGTTTCATGTCTGGACTGGGTGTTGTATATAAGAACAGAGACCATATTTACTCCTCATAATAGCCCTCCAATGCTTTGCAAATGGTAGACTCTTCAGTTTTTTTAATTTAATATGACATTTTATAACTAACCGTATCTTTTAAATGCTTCATACATAATATCAGGTAAAATTGCTCAGTTCTAGCTACACTGTACTAATTCAGTATATAAACAGAAGCAGATGGAATTGCTTCCAAACCAGTAAACATTTAAAATCAAATTCTTTCTTTTAAACACTGCCTAGTACTGACAAAAAGAGAAGGAAAAGGAAACCTTTGATGAGACACTCTATCATGTAAGTCTTTGTGTCAAATTAGCTCCTAAGGATGACTCATCAGAGAAATACAAATATGTATTTACAAAGAGAGAAAGAACTTAGCTAAACCCTAGGTCTACTGAACTTGAGTTTGATAGAGAGACCTAGAAAACTGAATTTTAACTATCTCTGCCTGATAATTTGGGGGCACAGTAGAGTTTGCAAGCAATCTCCTAAGCAAGGGAAGACTGGGCCTATACTGAAAAGGAGACTCGTAAAGACACATGTAAGCCAAGACCTGCCACACCAAGTAGGAGCACAGTAAGTCGTTACGGGATGGGTTAAGGAATGAATGGGATAGAAACAGGTGTTAGAGACCGATAGCATGGAAAGAGGTCAACTCCAAAGTACAACACAGAACCATCTGACATTGCCATTTTTGTGAGTCAAAACTGGACAAATACTGGCAATTCATACAGTTCAATTTAATGAGGAAATCAATAAAAGCTATGCTCTTATCATTTATGTTTTTTTCTTAAAAAAATGCTTATAAAAAAATCTCCATTAAAATGAAGTGGAACCATCATGAAGGTGTGGATCTGCATCTGTTTTGCTCAGTCCTATGCCCTCATGCCTGAAGCAATGCCCTCACAGGACAGCTACTCAATAAACACCATTGAATGCGTGAGAAAAAGTGGTTATGCATAAGAGGATGAATTCTTAGCCATTTGGAAAACTTGACTATCTGGAACAACTCATTTTTCAAGCACATCAGATGATAAGAACCATCTTTTTTCTTTGCCTATAGTTAATCAAAAAGGTAAACTAAAATCCTAATCCTAAAACTTATAGTTAACTAAGTCACCTTGCTAAAGTGAAATAACACTTGAAACTCCATAAAAATCCAGAATTTAAGACCCTCTAACAATTATAGTGTATTACCCAAATAAATAATCATACACACACATAAGCAGGATATTACATCCATCAATTCATTCAGAAAATATTTACTGAGTGCCTACCATGTCACCAGGTACTGTTATAGTAATTAGGGCATAGCCATGGAAGATGTTACATGAAGAACTTTTAAATAATGGAGAAATACTTATAACTTAAATGGGAAAAAACAGAATTAAAATTTTAAAATATGTATGTATTTATACACTACCTCAACTACATAAAAATGTATATATACAAATTAAGCCAAAACACCAAACTATTAGCTTCTTTCCCTGGATGGTGGAATTATAAGCAACTTGATATTTTTCGGTGTTTTCTACATTTTTCACAATTATGTAATTTTATAGTCCAGGGAAAGGTAACAAAATATTAAGCCACAGATTTTTGTATTAAGATAATGTCCTAATATAAAAAGTAGTCAGATAGGGATACTGAACAAAATAAAAAACCACATGCTGTATGCAAACACAAGAATTCTCAATCTAAATGGTAGACTATGTCAACAATCTGTAACCACTGAAAAATCTTCAACTGTCATCAAAAGTCTATTCTCTCCTAATGTCATAGTGATCCAAAAGGGTATGTTTTTTCTTTCAACAATTTCCTGATATTTCATCCATTTTCCAAAATAAGAACACTTACTTGAAATGTGAACCACTTATTTGAAAAATGAAATAGCTGAAAACTATGAAGTTGCCCTATATCATCCCTAATGTCTAGTAATTATTAGATTTTCCCTCTTCTCTCTTTTAATAAGGCATCTTTCCCTTATATGTCATTCCTCACTGATATCCACAACAGTCCCAGGCATGAACATATCTAAACAGACTTCCACTTTGAAAATGGATACACATAAAGAGATAGACAGCATGGTTTACAGCTCACAATTCCACTTTACATACCTCTCGGATATCAAAGCTCCTCTTAAGGTTAGCACCTACTATTCCATACAATTCATCAGCAGGAAACAAAGGCTCTTCCGAAGGTTCAATGGTAACCTGACGAAATATGGAACAATCATATTAACTTGTTTTAAGACATTATTTCAAGACAACATGAACCAAAATGCTTTTCAAGAAAATAAAAACTATAAGAACATATCCAACTCACATCCAATTTCTTCTGATAATTTAGATTCCTCACAACCTTCCTTGTTAAGTGAAGGGCATGATTATCATCCAAAGCACAGTAGTCACTTACACCAGACTTTCTACAGAGTAAAGCACACGAAAATAATCAGAACCGGGAATAGGAAAATAATTAAATATCTTAAACCCCAAATATCTTCCCTTATTTAAGGATGACATCATTTTTACTTCCAAAACACTTGAATAAATGTCATTTCATTTGGTCCTCATAATCTCCCTGGCAAAACAGTACAACCCTTGTTGTACAAACAGCAAAAACTGAGGTGCAGTACTTTGCCCCAGAACCACCAGTAGCTGCATAAGAGTTCACACCTTCTATTTCTCAATCTTGACCTTCTTCTACTAGACCACAGGGCCCTGCTGATAAGGACTTCTATTTCATACTCATCCCTTGCACCACAAGGAAGATTGTCTATGTTCCATCACAGATGGCACACTTCAGTGATACAGTCAGTAACACCAAAAAGCATTTGTACCTAACTGAGCCCTTAATGATATGGTCTTCATTTCTGAGAGACAGCCGAGGTCCCTCCTTACAAAGTGACACCCCAAAAGTAAACTGTCATGGATAACACATAGAAAGGCTTGAGTATGCTGTCCCTCAGATCAGTGGTAAAAATGGATATTGATAAAACAGAACTGTGATAAGGATCACAGAAGTTCCTGTTCAAACTCAATGCGAATGAAGCATGGGCTTCCTCTGGTTATTAGTTCTAATCCGATTTAGATGGTTTGTTATTTCATATGACAATACTATGACTCTCTGATAAAGTATTTTTTTAAAAATGTAAAGTCAGGCAAAAATGTATTTCAAAACAAACAGAATTCTGGCTCATTTTATGAGTTAGAACTAAGCTGCTGCAATCTGAATTTTGATTTCTGTTCTAGGGAGCATGCCAAATCCCTGGGAGACATTTCTTAGAATTGGGCTTGCACAGTGGTTTCATGTCTGGACTGGGTGTTGTATATAAGAACAGAGACCATATTTACTCCTCATAATAGCCCTCCAATGCTTTGCAAATGGTAGACTCTTCAGTTTTTTTAATTTAATATGACATTTTATAACTAACCGTATCTTTTAAATGCTTCATACATAATATCAGGTAAAATTGCTCAGTTCTAGCTACACTGTACTAATTCAGTATATAAACAGAAGCAGATGGAATTGCTTCCAAACCAGTAAACATTTAAAATCAAATTCTTTCTTTTAAACACTGCCTAGTACTGACAAAAAGAGAAGGAAAAGGAAACCTTTGATGAGACACTCTATCATGTAAGTCTTTGTGTCAAATTAGCTCCTAAGGATGACTCATCAGAGAAATACAAATATGTATTTACAAAGAGAGAAAGAACCCAAAGCAATGTGTGACTAGTAAATTTATGACACTGTTCCAAAAAAGAAGCTATCACCCCCTATCATTGTGCCATGATTTGACAGATTATTTATTAGTAATAATGGCCAGCAGTAATAGTGCTTAATATGCACCAGACACTGTGCTGTGAGGTAGGAACTATTCTTGTCTTCATTTTACACATGAGGAAATGAGGCTCAGGGAGATTAAGCAGTTTGTCTAGTCACATAGACATATAGATAGATAATGTGTGGGGCAAACAGAAGATGAATTCCAGAGCCTACATCTCTAACTTGATAAACAGCCCACAGCTTTTATGGGCACCAGATAACTTTTTCAAAACAGTCAAAATTTTTAAAAAGTTTAATGCTCCTCAGATGCCACCTTCATCCCCTTTCCCCAAGTAAGCACTGACAAACAGTGGTAGCCGCTTTGTCCGGTACCCCACTCACCTATTCTGCGCCCCTTTTCTCCCCAGGTTGAAACACCCACTTCACTGTCTCCCTGTAACAGTCAGTAAACGGCCAGTCAAGAGCAACGCTGCAACTCTGCTCATGTGCGGACAATCATGGGTAGAAACTCAAGCGTCCTCTAAGCTCTTCTCTGCTGCCTCAACTCCACTCCCTTAGTCGCACCTCCTCTCGCCTCTAGCTGTAAAAACGGAAGTATCCTAGCATACTTATTTTGTCATTGTTTTTTAGTTCATTCATTTAGTGCTCTTACCTGCCTGATTAAATTATAAATCCTTGCAGGCTGGCACTAGGCCTGACTCTTCAGTATTACTCATAAAACAGCACAATCTATCCACAATAAGTGCTCCATGAGAAAGGAATGAACAAAAACCTGAGGCAAAGGTGGACCCCTTGAACAACTCTTCAGAAGGCACAATAGTGTTCTTTGATCGGAAAGTAGAAATGTACCTGTCTTCCTCCTCCCACTACTGTACTGCCCCTGTAGCCACCTGCCTCCCTGGCTTGCACTTTGGCAGAGCAAAGAGAGGCTCACTGCACCCAGGCCACTGAGCTTAAGGATTAGATCAACTTGCCATGTATGTCCGGGTTCTTTAGGGAACAATCCCAGGCCCTCTTTTTTATCTACACTCCCCTAGAAGTGGCTCATTTAGTCCTGTGATTTTAAAGTCCAGGTCTGAGCTGTGACTCCCAAGTAAGGAGCTCCAGCACTAATCTGGGCTTCAGGCTCTTAGAGTTCACTGCCTCCTCAGCACCTCCACTTAGATGCCTCAAGCATCTCTGTCTCAGCAGGGCCAAAAGGAATGTTTGATCCTACTGCCCTAGGTCCAAATCTGCCCTCCTCCCATCTTCCCAATCTCAGGAAATGAAACCATTTCATGCCATCATCTTTGTCACCTCACCTTCCTGCAGCCTTACCTGAAATCCACCTACAAGTCCCTCAGGTCCACCTCTAAAATAGAGCTCAAGCCTGCTCACTGCCCCCTACTGGCACTACCACCATAACCATGGAAGACACCAGCACCTCTTATCTACACCACTGACACACCCACCAACTGGTCCCTCACATGGATTCTTGCCAACTCTCTAAGCATTCTCCATTTAGCACACAGGGATTTTTATTAATTAAATATTTGCTAGTGGATCTCTCCTTAAAACTTGTCAATGCTTTCCTAATGCCCTTTAAAAAAAAAAAAGAGTCCAAAACCTTTAATGACCAATTAAGATAAACAACAATAATAACAATAATGGCAATTGACATTTATAGGTACTTAAAGCAGGTATTGTTTCAAGCAATTTACATGTATCATCTCATTTAATCCTCACAAAATCCTAGGAGGTAGATGGTCTTCTTATCCAACTCTAACCTAAAATGGTTAGACCGGTGATGTGATGGAACCAACTCACCCGACTCACAAGAGCCAACTTCATGTATCTCTTCCTGATTCTTTGCATGATTCAATGGTGTCCTATTGGTAGCTTGAAATCAGCCATAGTGGGATAATTTATACCACAGAAATTGGCAGATGCCACAAAGCAGGGCTTTCTCCCTCCCCAGAGAACAAGGGTTAAGCATTCGCCTGCTATTGAAAGTTTAGCTAACCTACCCCATAGTATTGCTGTCTCAGCATTTACTTTGTTTGGCTATGCAGCCCGCAGGGACCTTAAACTAACACTAGCCCCACATTCAAGTACATGCCCTCGATGGCAGCTGCAGAGTCACAAGCAAATGTAACTCCTGATATGACCTCCCCAACAGGATTGACAGTCTCCCCTGCCTCCCAGCACCTGTATGCCTTATGCACCCCTCAGAGAAGACCTTATAGAGCTTACCAAAACCCCGCTCTTTTGGTTTGAATTGACCAATCTGGCCCTAGCCCAGGAAGTTCAAAGCACCACCTCATAAAACCCTAATAAAAACACATGCCCCAAGTTCTGCCTCTCTCTCTCTCTCTGCCCTTCTGCTTTGGTCCCATTTAGCCATTCAAAGCAGGCCATGTACTTTGCCCAGGACCTGTGAGTAATGAATGTCTCTATTTTAATTTTCCTTATGTTCTTTTTTTTGAACCTAGCATAGCATTCTGTGCTCCACTTAACAAATGTTACTTAACAAAGTCATACCAGCATACTATTGGATTAGATCACCTCTCTATAATGCTCTCTCTGTACTTCTCCTTTGTAGGCCTCATCATATATACATATTCATATAACTTTTTGGAAATTATTTATTGCCCACCTCCCTGATGAGAATGTAAGCTCTCTGAGGTCAAAGGTAACATCTATCCCATTATCTCAAATACCTACAACAATGTCTAGTACATAACAGGTGCTCAACGGATATTAGTTAAATAAATAAGAAATCTGGTTAAATAAATAAGAAAGACTGATTTCTCCAGTCTTTCTAGGCTATAATGAAAAGCTGATGTTCCAACTCTACAGTTCAAAGAACTGAATCCTGCAACAGCACATTGAGAGCCAATAAACTGTGGTTTGATCTGGCAAGTTTAACACTTGGAAAAAAATAACTTAAAACTTCTTTTAAACAAATAAATAAGCAACAATCGATCCCAGAAAAAAAACAACTGCTTTTGTTCCACCTGCAGTGAAGATCAGCACCTCCAAGGTCCTCAGCGGACACCTCTTCTCCAGTTGCTGCTTTAACCTACAACAAGGACAAAAGTCAGTGGGGAGTTCTGCTCCTCAGAGATAGAAAAGGCTTTTCTAACTTGCACATCTTCTAACCTGACTATAGCTCCACTCTGCCTCCCACAGAACTAAAGAACATTTTATTTCCTCATCCCACCCACCTAGCAAACCTGTACAATACTGTCTCCAATCTACAGATAAAAAGTCTGAACCCAGAGTCACTACGGAACAAGTGATGGAACTTGATTTGGCCGCAGGCCTTTCCGGCCTGAAAGCCCACGCTCTCTCCTCTGCTCTGAGCTGCCTCCACAGGCACACGTCGTTCTCACTGCCTGGCTCCTGCTCCTGCTCCCTCTCACCCACCTGGTGAACCCCTATTTCCCTCCAAGCCCCACCTGCTCTAGGTAGCTCTCCCTGATCTGCCCAGGCCTTTTTATCACGAATGACTCTCCGTAGTAATAACAGAGCAATGCTTGCTCATCTTCGGCCCAAGAATATTCTACTGAACTCTCTAACATGGCACCTGCCAGACTGTACTTGAGTAATATTCATGTGTCTCTGTCATCTCATACTGTGAGTTCCTTGCTGGAAGGAACTGTCTTTTATTCATGTTTAAGCACTCAATAAATATACTGAAGTAATGTCTTTGTTTTCTGCCTATGCTGACCCAGTGACTATCACAAGCATATTGTTAAAGGTGTAATATCATTAAGAAGGGGAAAAAAATCTCTAAGATTACCCATATCTAAGATTCAGCAGAATATGACCAAAATGAAAGAAACTGCAAGTAATAAATTAAGAATGACATAATTATAGCCTGAGAAATTCTAACAGGAAAAAGAAAAAAAAATCACATGCTACTAAATGCCAACCTGATCTCTTAAGAACTGCTTGATTCCTACTTCTTTTTGTTGATTTGTTTCTTTCTCTCCAAATAAGAAAATCTTTTGTTAGAATGAGTGCTAAACTAAAATGCAGCATAGAAATGACTTATTATTCACTACATCTAAAGCTCTGTTTTAAATAAAATATTATTTCACAAGGACAGGTAATTAAAAATTTCACTTCCAATTACTCCACCCTAAGAACTAAATTCTCAGGTCTCTTTTTCCCAAAAAAAGTCAGTACAAAATAGCATTCAGTCCAGACAATACCTCATTATAAGAGGTGTCTGGATATTCAAGTTGTAAAAAGAAATAAACAACAAATATGCTATATTTATTTCCAGGAATCTGACTGTTATCAACTGAAAAAATAAGGATTTCTCATCAGTTAATATTTACTGAACACTCACAGCATATTTGATGCTGTAATAGGTGCAAAAAATGATAAAGTCAAAGAGAAAATTAAAACAGCTCATTCTCCTGAATAACAAGTCCAGAAAATAAACAGAATACAGGAAAACAAAAAGCTCCTTCAAAATTTGTCTCATTACTACCCATTTTTTTCCACCACTTTAAGCTACTGAAAGCTATAGCAACTCAAGCTTACATTATGTGTGAAGCCTACAAAGCCTTTTCTCCATTTTCAGTAAAACAAGCATCAAAATTTAGAATTCTCAAACAGATGGGGCTGCTGCCTCTCATTCTACCCGTAAACTCGGTCTTTGGCTGACTACTGAACGATCCTGAGTTCTGTAATAGAGCCACAGACTTCACTCGCTAAGTTGCTTCTTTCTAAGGTACAAGTTAAATCTGAGTCTGCTGAATGGAAATTGTAACACTGGCCTTTAGACAACATCTCAGTAACAGTTAGCATTCTTCAGTATTATGGGGCTGCCTATATCCCCCAAAAAGATGTTTTCAAAGTTGAGTCCTATCTTTACGCATTCTTTAATGGAACATCAATAAGACCTAGCTGTGAAAGTTTGTTCCCTTTACAAAGGGACATTTTGCAGACTTTTCCTCTCTTCGCAATGACCGCTATTACATGTAGCTGGGGAAATACAAAACAGTCACGAACACTGCAGGCTTGTGAACAATGCCTGAAGACTCTCATCACGTGTGAAATGGCAGCTCTTCAGGCTTACCTGATCCTCAATAGAAGTTATTAAACAGTAACACAATCGGCATGGAGACTGCACGCCCTTAGGGGCCACGTGTCTGCTAGGGATAGGGGCGGTGGGCCCACTGGAAGCAGAGATGCCTGAGAGGGGGAGTAGTCCATGCCTGAGGAGGAATGTCATTA